CATCACAGGTTTCTTCTGAAATGTCCTGAATGTCTCCTGTACTCTCTGTCACTTGCGATACATGATTGTATAAGGAATATTGATTGTTCAGATCCTTCTATATAGCAGCAAGCAACTAGATCCCAAAAAACAACCTCATATAGCTAGAAGGTAGGTGAGATGAGTAAGTAAAGCAGAAGGCAATAGAAAAAAAAAAAAAAGAGGCCCATCTGTTCCAAACAACATGGAATTTCTATTGTTCTTCTAGAGCCCTTCCTTTGAAGGACCCAGAATGTATCTGCACATTGAATATCACACCATATTTCATTTTCTTAACATCTCTTTCTAAACCATACATGCTCTTTAGCAGAGACACACTTGCCTGCTGCTTTTTGTGGGCAACATGCTGAACTTTTACAGGAGGATGTATGTTACTGTTCAGAGCAGCTTGGTCAGTGAAAGAGTGGGAGGAGAGTATTCAGCTCTGCATCCACTGGCATTCCTTGTTTTCAGGGGTTGTGAGCCAAGGAGGGCTGTGCCTTTGAGCACAGGCAGTCAAATGGCAGGGTCGCTGCCAAGGGATGAAGCCACTGACTTGTGATGCAGTCTGTCTCTCTCAGACCTTCATGCTGGGATAAAGGAGGCACTTAGGGTGCCAGGGAGAGCCTGAGGTCAGCAACTGATGAGACTGGGGCTTTATGACTTGGAAAGACATGACACGCCTCAGGGTAAGTGGGGGAGAGCATGGCTCTGTGTCACCTTGTAATGATAAACAGGTGGCGTCAAGGCATGGGGGCAGTGAGCGTGGGCTGGTAGTTCTAGTCCAAAAATCATGCAATAAAGTCACTTCAGCTGTGTGTGTGTGTGTGTGCTTATGAGCAGAAGGCAAGAAAAGGAGTAAATAGCAGGTAGGAACATGTGCCTGAGCCTGTCAGACCCTTAACAGAGGCAAGGGAGAGCAGTAGGTCCATTCCTGTGAAATTTGGGGGGAAGAGTTCCTGTCCCCATGGCCAGAGGTGTGCATAGAGCCTGGTACTGTCAATTCTTCATCCCTCATAGCTCATTCCAAAATGAGATCATATTTTAGCAATCCACTGTTCTCAACTGGCCTTGGCTCTGTCCTGTCATGTGCAATGGTACTACTTTTGCCCAGGCCCACCCCAGAACTGCTTGCCCTGGGGATGGCAAGGGAGGCTGGCAGTCCTGTCTGCCCCCCAGGCTTGGAGGTAGGCAAGCCTGCCCAAATCCAGAAATAAGAGAGGAGTCTTTCTCTGTAGCTTGTCTTGAGGTTTAATTTCTGTCTTTACTTGAGTCTTTGTTTCCATTGCTGTGGTTTTTCATCAGTTTTGATCACAGTCAAGTCATGCTAACATAGCGAACATGCAGTTTACCTAGAATGGAAAATCATCTCAGCCCATTCAGGTCCATCAGCCTTTTGAGAGAGACCCCATTGTGAAATGAAGGAAGACTAGGGGAAAAGAGGTGTCCTACTGCTGGTATTTTATCAGGCTGCTACTCTCTTGGTATTTTCTTAAAGTCCCAAGCTGGCAAAGCAAGGGGTAGTGCCTGTCTCAGCTCTCACTGAAAAGCAAAATATTTCTGCCTTTGAGTGCAGAGCAGCACAGCACCTGTTGTGTTCCTGTGGCTCTGAAGCCAGGGAAATTGATCCTATAACTTTTGTCCAATCTCATTGATTTTGTGGGAAGTGCTGTGTTTTGAGGAGTGCTGTATTTTGAGGAGATGTGTGCTGATCAACCATAATTTAATTCTTGGGGGTTACTAGTAGTGCACGCTGGGATAGGCTGTTGGATAGCCCTGGCTGAATTCGGTGTCTGCAGCTGGCAGGGTTAATGCTGTGTGTGAGAGGAGGAAGAAGGATTTGTACTTCAGACCTGCCTCTGCTGGGAGCTAGAGAAGCCAAGCACCACCTCATTTATTGCAACGTGAAGAGTGAATGAGCTGACAAAATATTCCTTTAATTTATTTGAAGCTGCATTCATTTCTCCAGAAGGGGGAGAGTGGAGTAGTCGAATGCTGGGAGGAATGTGCCTAATTGAGGATTGTCCTTTTTCCCTAACTCCATAGACACTACATAGTGGCTGTCAGATCTACTCACATGTTTTGCAAAGTCCAGGGTTATCTGGCTATTGAGTAAATCTTTGTAAAGTGTGACCCAACAATTCTGTTTTTAAGAGTTCACTGTTGGTTTTGATACTGTTTCAGTTACTGAGAAAATATTACAAATGCATGGAGGTGCAAACCATGTGCACCTCATGACTGCAGGAAGATCACATATGTATGGCAGGCCTGATGCTCCTTTCTGATCGTGAAATTTGAATTTGACTCACAGATATTATGTTGTAACAAAAAAAAAGGAGGGCAGAATGAGTTTAAAGTATTTTTGTTATGCTGAATTTTTAGTGTTTTATCCTCTATCCTCTGATACATGAATTGTTACTTCTGGTGGTTTTTTTTTTTTTTGTGTTTTTTTTTTTTTTTTTTAACCAGACTATTCCCTCCATCGCAGTTAAATCATTTTTCTTTTGACAAACCCTGATTTGTTGCTTCTGTTTCTGTAAGGATCAGATGGGTAATGGAAGCTGTACAGCAACTTTATGTATGCTACTCGAGATAGTGAAATGTAGGCCTACAATAGGCCTTTTTTCAGCAGCTGTAAAGCTGGTGTGTGAATACAGTGAATCCATTCAGTGTCCCCCACGCTTGCTGGGAGCAGCCTGGAGAAGAGAGTTGTACTGGTGAAATGACTAGCCAGCAAAACGGTTTCAGAGGGACAGGCTGATGACTCACTCCTTATTTTGGTTTGCAGGGTCTTTTTCTGCATATGTGAAGTTTCAGCCTGAGTTAAGAGATCTGTAACTTTCTATAATTTTCTCCTTGTTTCCAGATTGTCTACTAAATCAGCATGGGTGTTGTGTTACTTCCATCAGCCCTCTGAGATGGGGTGATGCTCTTATGTTTTTTATAGAGGCAGGGGCAGGGGAAATTTTGGGTTAAGTGACAGTGTGCATTAGGAGCCAAACACTCATGCTGTAGTTGTACTATAGAAGCTCAAGTGTCATTCAGAGCTATTTCAGCCTTTCAGGAAGTGTCACACAGTATTTGCCCATAGGTCATGAAGAAAAGCCTAGAGGATAGCTGAGAATCTGTCCATTAAACGGTTTTATTTGACTTTTTAAATAGAGCATTAAAAATGTAAGTATATAAAGTGAGAACAGGAGGATTTTATGCTGATTTTGATCTTTGGCCATCTTGTATTTGAGTTCAGGAAAAAAATGAGAGGCAGAACCTACTTGATTTGGCAGGGTGACACTCTGTAAGATAATCCCTTTAACACTTTTTCTTAAATTAAGAATGGTTTCTAGGTGGCATGAGTCATGGACAGACTGTCCTCATTTCACTTTGAACTTGCAGCCTTCTCTGGATGTGTGTCACAGATTTAGAGGGCTTTGTCCGCTTCCTGCAAATGGTAGGTTTGGCTGTTGCAGGCTTGACTGGTGTTGAGTGAGAGCAGGCTCCTTGAAGGGAGAGGCAGCACCACGTCAGCCTGAATAAGCACGGTGGAATAGGGGTCCAGGCTAATTTAAGCAGAGTGTTTTGTACAATAAGCAGCTTTGGAGAGTGGTGACATAGGCATAACCTTCGTACAGATGTCAAGGTTCCCCTTATTTGTGTGTTATGGACTGCTTCAAGTTTTGGGTTGTTTTCCTCCAGGGTGTGTGGGGGAATATGCTGTGGTGTAGAAAGGTGTACTTTTTGAATTTTTGAACACTTTTGGAAAAGTTGTCTTTTTTGAGGTATATAAAGCACAGAAGGCTGTGGATATTTTCTTAATTTCTTAATTAAAAGCAAGGGGGAAGTTATTCAGATTATTCCATCGGTTCTAGCCAAGGAAGAAAATCGAAGTGTCCTGGCTTACATGCACACAAGGTCAAATCCTCTCGTTGTCATGTTGTGTAAATTTGTTGGCTTCAGTGGGAGTAGGCACAGGTGTAATCCTGGGAATAGTTCCTTTCAGGCTTTTTACAGAGCAAAAATTAATCTGGTTGTTGGTCCTAAAAATTGTTCATAGAGAAATAGCTGGGATGCTTGTAATCCAGAGAGGCCATGCAAATACAAGACCATGCTTTCAGAGGGAACGTGAACTCTGCACTGGCTGGCAGTGTTTTCCTGCTGACAGAGCCTGGTTTGGAGTCTTACGTACTCAGCTGGCCCTCGGCCAAGGCTTGCTGCAGGTACTGGAGAGGGAGGAGGGTGGAACAGGGGGTGGTAAGAAGCTGTTCTTGGTAGCCGCACTTACTGAAAATTCAAAACCCTTCAGACCTTTTTTGGTGATGGTAGAGAATGTCAAGATTGATTGTATTAGAGACCTGCCAGTTACTCTTAACTCATCTACTTTGTTGCTCCTCCTCCCTTCCTTCCTCCCTCGACAGCTGGGCTGGGTTTTGTAGTGCTAATGGTGCATTGCTTCTCCAGCACGGCTACTACTTCCCCCACGCTGCTACTACAGAAATACTACAGGAACTCAGTGAAGACTGAGAGAGGGGGCTGTATATGTTTTATTAGTGATAATAACGTGATAGCAGTAATAAAACTGTGTAGCAGTTTAATACTTTACATAAGGATTTTTCTTCTGATTTGTGTCCTGGGTTTTCTTCCATTTTTGGCCATCATAAATTTGTGGAGTCTGGTATATCCTGGACAGTACTTTAAATGAATACTTTGTAGTGTGCTATCTTATGGTTTTTTAAAATGCCATGTTTTTGAGTGGTCTAAACCAGTGTTGTTTTTTTTTTTTTTTTTGTGGTTCACTTGGGTCTTTTTAAATTTTTTTTTTTTAAAGTACAGCTCACAGAAGAGCTGCTGCTGGAGGAAGTTACCACACTTGCTTTAGATAATGAAACATACATTCAAAAAAGGTCAGGGATTTCCCCTGAGCCACCCACCAGTTGCTTGAAATGACATTTTCATTCTGAGTGTTTCTTTTTTTGTTTTTGTTTAAGATCCTGGAGCGCAGGGAAAGAGTTTTAATGCAGAATACCAGAAAAAAACGTCTGCAACATCTCCTGTGAGAGGGGGGACAAAAGGAGAGTAACAATTGCATCTTGAAACACTCTTGATTTGAGGTAAGTGATTGGAGGGTCTTAAGTTACAGTTAGTCTCTAATTGAATTAACCATTATTTACCTCAGAGTGTCATGATATTGTTGTTGTAGAGGGAAAGAACTGTAATGGCAAGCCCAGAAACAGCAGCAAAAGTATGTAATGTGCTTATCTTTTTGAAAATGGGCCCCATGAGTTCCAGTCCCACAAACTGGCAATCATTCTGACATTTATAAGGGTTGAACCCTGTTTAAATCAATGAGGCTATTCTCCCTGAAAGTTAGGCATAAGCCTAAGTATTTCCTAGTTTGGAAACTATATCATATGGGAACTATTGAAGAAAGCTATTGAAAAACATACAACACACAGCCAGAAAAATGCATATACTGATCTCTTACTGTTGGTGATAATGTCATGAGTAATCTGATTTTGCAGCATCCTTAAGTGATATTTTTATATTTTATATTAAATACATTGTTCTCATTTTTATGTTTAAACACCTCATTGAAATACCAAACTTCTTAGCAAAGCTTTAACAATACATCTGCCTTAATTGCTTCATCAGTGTGCCTTTCAACAAATGGAGTTAAATGTACAGAGAAAATAATGTCCCCTTTCATAACTAGAGTTGCAAATTGCACTTGGATATTTGAATAGCAACTGAACTAAAATCTCCCTGACTGAGGCTGAATTCTGTTGTCAGAGTTAATTTTTTTAATAAAGGCAATGACGAGGCACAAGGAGAAGCTCACCTTTTCCCTGTAGTCTTCTTTGTTTGTTTGTTTGTTTTTGGTTTTTTGTTTTGTTTTCATTTCTCATTAGAAAAGAATTTAACCTGAATCTAGTAAGGAGAAAATGCTACAGTTGTAAAACTTTTAACCAATGAAAATGTTGCATAAATGAACACTAAAAAACACCAGCATCTTTCTTAAATAAAAATTTTAAGTTATTTACTCTCTTCTGCTGCACAATTGTGCTGAAAGAGACAAAACTGCTGCAAGGAATCTGCAGAATCAAAAGGACACATACCACCTGGAAGAAACAGAGTATATGTTCCCACAAATGTGCAGAGAATCAAAACCTTTTGGCAAGTGGCATTTGCAGATGTACGTTGCTTTCCAGATTTCAGAAGAGAGGAGAGCATAGCTGAACCCTGGCGATTGCTCTGTATTTGCTTTGTAGGAACAGAGCTATTAAGACTCTTTTGAAATCAACAGGCCCACTGCAGGGAGCTAAATATTTCCTTTCTGGTCAGTGGGCAGGAGCCATTGCTTGGGAAATTGTAGTGGTCCTGTAGGTATTTGTACTGATTTTTCTGAACAGGTCAGTTTCAAATCAGTGTAGCCAACTCCTTTTTATGCGCAGATCTTGCACTAGGGACTATAAGCCCAAACAGGAATACAGAACTCTTTCAGCAGGAGTCTGAGGCAATTTTTGTAGTTGTGAAATGAGGTATTAATTCAAACCTGTTTGAAGGCTGAGGTTGGGAAATGCCTTGCTCTCTGGGGCAAGCCCTGTTTCAGGTGCAGGTGACAGTCTTGGCCAAGCCAGTGAGAGAGAAGTGCTCCATTGTGTGATCACCCTCAGCCCACCTTTGCTTTCTGTCCATCCTACTCTCTTGGAGGCAAGCATTCCTTCTTGGTTCTGTGGAGCATAAATCAAAATGCTTTTATTGATGCCTCCTTTTCATTGATGTCAGGCCAGGATAAGGCACATGATTTTCCTTTCACAATTGCCTTCTTGTTGTTCTCTGAGGAAACTCACGTTGAAGTTCAGGAAAAGATATTTTGTAGCATCAGTGTGGCCTTTATAATTTTATCAGCTCTATGTTACACTCAGAAAATCGTTGAGGTTGTTTTTATCTTTCTTTGTATCAGAGTGCAGGAGCTCATTGTCAGCATACTGGAGGGAACCTCTTTTATGCCAAAAGCTCAATTTTAGGATATATTAAATTGTCCCACTGTCCTTCTCCTTTCTTAATTTTTTCAGCATGTGAAGAAATAATGCCCCCATTTTTGTGCACGGAGAAGGTCCTGTGGTATATGCCAGGGAGTTATGTGGGTGCTGAGCTGAGCAGGCAGAGAGACTGACTCTCTCCTGCTTTGTATTTTTCACTGGGAGTGAACACAGGGGACTGAGCCTGCCCAGATTAAACACATGCCTTTTTTGTTTTGCTCTTCGTTCAGCTGTCAGCATGCCATGTTCACATGGCAGTGATCAGTCACAAATTGTCCCCTGACCATGCTCCTCAGCTCTCCTGAACCATTAGTTTTGTGGAGCTCTTCAATAAAGATGGCACTGGTTCGATTTCCCCACCCCCTGCCCTGGCTAATGGAAGAAGACTTTGTTTGTTTGTATTTTCCCCTCAAATCAGCTGCATTAGATCCCAAAGCAACTTGTGTTAAGTGGAAATGAGGCTTTGATAATATAGGTGCTTGCTAGAGACCCTACGATTTTTTTCCCCCACCCCCTGTATATGGATCTTTTCAATGGGGTGCCGCTATTGTGAATCAAAAGGAAAGTGCACAGGCTGCCAGGCACATAATGGAATTGTTCTTTTGTTTCAGTATGTGTGTGTGAGCCTTTGTAAAGAGGAGGCGGAGGGGACAGAGAACGGAGACCTTCACTGCAGGAGGGCAGGAGAGTGCAGTGGCACAGTGCAGGGCAGCACTGTGGCGAGACATGGTCGTGCCGGTGCCACCATGCCCCTTCTGCTCGGCTCTGGTGGGCACTGCCTGGGTCTCACACCGTCACACTGCATGTCCCAGGAAAATGGGTGAAGCTTGCACAGCCATTCACTATGCTGCCTGTAAACCACATAAGGCAAAATATTCAAAAGCTGTAATGTTTCCAGTGCTTCCTCTAAACTTTCAAAAGTGATGTAAAAATGAACTGCGCTGATCCTGTCCTTCCTTACTGTGAGGCTATTTATTATAAAGGGCGTATGGTATAAGTAATTTCAGTATGGAGTACCTAAGAGCTTGAACCAAAACCTTGGATCCAAGCCCACCAGCAGCTTTGCAAAAGGCAGGATCCAGATCTGAAGTCAGTGGTTCACACAGTTTCTAGCAGAGAGTGGTTTTAAGTTACTTCATGAAATGGGAGTAGCCAGAAATTTTAAACTGAAGCTTTTAAACAAGTTTTTGACTTTTTCCGACCCACCATTCTCCTCTGCCTTAGAAGGTTATTGCAAAAGCACAGAAGCTATTTTCTCCTAGCCACTGTGGCCAGGACACACCAACTCAGGGAAAGGAGAAAGGCCTCTGTGGTGGTGTCTGTTATACAGCCATATGCTTCTTTTTTCTGAGTATTTTTTTCTTCTAAGGAGTTAGGCTGCGCTTCTGGATGGAGGTCTTTGAAATCACAGTAGAGGCTTTGGAAGTAGGATCCTGAAATTTCAAGGGCATCAAGAAATGGTTTATCACCCTGGCACAGAGCAAATCAGATCACAGTAGCTGGACTCCCACCTCCTGAATAGTCCTCTCTTGAGATACCATAGCTGAATTACAGACATGAAAAAATTCAGCATTGTAGACAAGAAATCCATAAGGCCCAAATTTTTTTTTTCTTGCTAGATATATGGTTCTGGTTTTATTCTCTCCCTTTTCTTTTGCCCTTGGACACAGCATTTTAGGGCTTTTCAGTCTCTAGCTGTGCATGGACTAGAGAGGCATCTGGTTATGTATTACTTTACACATCTGTTACATACGTCAGAGAGTAAAATCCAGCACCCAGAGACTTAATGTGTATTTGCAGTACTCCCTGTGGGACTTTGAATCCTTCATCCAATTAACTGCTTATGAGGATACAAAAATGCGATATTTCAATATAGTGCATATATTATTGCAGTTTATTGCATATGTATTGCACATATATACACTACAGTCTCCTTTGTATTTGACAGAGAAAATCTGGTGTGGGAAGAATGAGAAGTGCAGGGGTCCTGGGAAGTATTTAGGCATGGCAGTTTGCTTCTTCCTGAAAACATCGTATCTCTAGTTGGCTGCATGAGAAACAGTTTTCATCATGATTTGAGTATCTCTAAGAGGTATACCAACAGTGTTGTGTATTTCAAACTTAACTTCAGGCTGGTTGGACAGTGGGGAGTGGCCAAATACCTGAGACAGCATTGGTAGCTGAGACAAAGCTCAGGCTTTGCAGTTTTGTCTGGAGAATCTACTATTTGCAGGCTGTATAGGGAGCATGAGTGTCATGGCTTGACCCCAGATGACAACCAAGTACTATGCAGCCACTCACTCCCTGTACCCCCACAGTGGGATGGGTAAGAGAATTGGGAAAAAAGTGCAGTGAGATAAGAACAGTTATAATTATATAACAACAGCAACAATAATAAAAATAGTAGTGGTAATGATGATGTAATGAAAAGAGAGGCGACCAGAAGAGAAAGAGAAATAAAACCCAAGGAAGAGAAGTGATACACAGCACAGTTGCTCACCACCTACTGACTGATAACCAGCCTGTCCCTGAGCAGCCATCAACCCCTCCTGGACAGCTCCTCCAGCTGACAGATGGAGAAGGATGCTCTATTGTATGGAATATCCCTTTGGCCAGTTTGGGCCAGCTGTCCTGGTCATGCTCCCTCCCAGCTTCTTGTGTACCTCCTTGCTGGCACAATGTGGGAAAATGGAAAGTCCTTGACTTAGGATAAGTCTTTGACTATGGAGCTACTAAACATGAGTTATTAATGTTATTCTCATGCTAAATCCAAAACCCACAAAACTTACAAGCTACTAGGAAGAAAATTAACTCCATCTCAGCTGAAACAGGGGTAGTGCATTAGTTTGAGTTTCTGTTTTGCTTTTCCTCTGCTTGCTTGTTCTGCAAGTGCATTAAGTTTGCAGAAAATGTGACTTCTTAGATGGTCTTTATTTATGATTCATGCAGAACCCAAATGTGGTAGGTGTTATTCCTACAAATGATAACTTAGGGCTATTCATTAGTATGCAGTGCATGCCACTGAGCAGATAAACTTACCTCTTGTTTTTATGTTTTTTTTGTTTGCT